AAGAAGGGGCTGGATAAACTATGAAACCATAGGGCTTTGTTGTTGTCGTTTGGTTGGTTATTGTATTTACTCATTAGAGAGCTGGGGATGCAAAGGCACCCAAGCGGATTAAATCCAGGAAGGGGTAAGGCTCTGTGCCAGAGCGGGCACCTACAGCTGCCCCGTTGGCAGCAGGCAGCGGAGGGAGGGGGCGCGCTGCGCAGGCAGGGCTGCGGGAAGCACACAGTGTGAGAAGCTCCGCTGGGCGTGCTTAGCCTGCGTGGTGCCTCAGAGTCCAGCAGAGCACCAGCCACGGAGTGAGTCTGAACCCGGACACCAGTCCTTTCCCACAGGCTTCACTAGGTGACCGGGGCCTTGGGGAAGGGCAGGAAGGCTGAGACACCCTGCTAGGCTGCCAGCACCGTAACTGAGTGTGCGGGGGACGCCTCCAAGGCCAGCAGAGCAGAGAGAAGCAGCCAAAGAGGTGGCGACCAGGAGCACAGCCGGAGAGCAAACACAGAGATCCAAAAATCTACCAGCCAGATCATAAATGGAGAGAGATTTTAAAAATTCAGAAAGCTGTTCATTGAGATATTAAAAAAAAAATCTCAAGTCACACTGGTGTTCAGATTCCAAACACTACTAAAGGGAAAGTCCTGATTCAGCCCTGCAAACATCTGAAGCCAATGAAGAGCTTGTTTACAATATAGTGTATTAACAGAAAATAGAGGTAGAGTGAGGCCAGCAGACCAGGAGACAGTTCTCACTGTAGACAGTCTGTTACAGTTCCCAAGAGGAGGGGACACCACCCTCAGGGACCATACCAGGAGGCACCAGGGTTGGTTACAAGGCAGAGAGTGAAGGAGGATCTATGGGCAAGAGCCTTCATTGTGGTTTCTATGGGAAGGAATGGATAAAGCAGGGTGAGCAGGCTTAGGACTGGCTAGCTTGAGTAACTCCAGTGAGTTGTCAAGGCTGTGTGCTACCTGCCCTACGTGAACATCAGGACAGAGGAATGGTGGCCCAGACGGTGAGAGCCCATGACAGGAGATGGGAAAGGAAGAAGGCTCTGGACTGGTTGGTTTATATTTGAAAAGCATGCTCTTTGGCAAGTTGTTTACTATCTCTCAGAACTGACTAACCTTGGGAGAGATAGTCCCTCCAGAAAAGTGTGGACCCAGATGTCAAAGCAGCAGAATACAGAAAATACAAAACACAGTGAAGACAGAACAGAATCCATCTAAGCAGCAGCAAAGCCCAGACCCAGCTCAACACACCTGAGATATCACCACACACACTAGAATGATAAATTCAGAAAGAGTGATAATACTAAGTGTTGGAGAGAATGTTTGGCAACTGGACTCTGACATATTGCTGGTAGGCATGTAAAATGGTACAAATCCTTTGAAAATTGACAATTTCTCGTAACTTTTAACATGGACCTACCCCATGACTGTCTCCTTGGTATTTACTTAAGAGCCAGAGAAGTGTATGTCAACAAAACGGCGTTTGTGGCACTTTACTCATTATGGTGCCAAACTGGAAAGGAACCAAGTGTCCACCAGCAGGAGGATGAATTTACAGGTTGTGGTTTATCTGTACAGTAGAATACCACGCAACACGAAAAAGGAACCAAAATACAAATAAGCAAAACAACATGGACAGACCTTAAAACGTTATGTTGGGTGAGAGAAGCTAGATACAAAACATCCCATGTAAGATTCCACTTTTATGATGTTTAGGAACAAGAAGAAATAATCTATTGAGACAGAAATCTGAAAGTAGGTACCTCTAGCAAGTAGGGTGGGGTGGGAATTACACTGTAATGTGCATGAGGGAACTTTCTGGGGTGATGGTTAGGTGGAAGTAGGTAACTAGAAAAACTTAAACTGGATGATTAAGACCAGTGCATTGGTTGTATATAAACAAACCGTGCCTTGATAAAAGGCTTGGTCAGAATATATAGAAAACAAAATGCATTCTGAAAAAAACATACCAAGAGAACGCTAAGTATTGCATTTTATAGCAAAAAGCTAAATGATTAAGATGTAATGAGGTTACCCAGAGGAGGCTGTTCCAGCAGGTAATTTAGAGAAGTCTCCAGAAGGGAAGAGACACATGGAGTAAACAGACCATTACTAGGAGAAGGCTTAGAACTGTTTTTGTACAAAGTAGACCTCTTAACTGGTGATTAGTAGTAATAGAAATGTACCAAGGGCAGAAAATAAGGAAAGCAACTTACTTTGAGCATAATTATTAATAAATCCTAGAAAAATAACAATTACCTCACACCTGATACAAAGAAAAACAAAGGGTTACTATTCCATACAACATAGAAACAGAAAGAGACAACAAAGACTAGCATCAATGTTGAACAAATTGGGAAAACGGGGTCAAATATTAACACTAAAAGGTGCTGGACTCTTCCATAAAAATGAAAACACTTATTGAATTTAAAATGAATTAAAAATGTTAAAGGCATATCAAAAATTTGCTAACTATGAAAAGATACTTAAAACCAAAATAAATAAACATATTAAAGAATGGGAAAAGCTTCACTCTACTTGCATGAGTATAAAAATGTCAGAACTGATTATAAATACGGAAGAATACAGAAAAGTACTTCAAATCTAAACATACAAAGATGTAAGTTCTATGCAAAAACACAACTGCAATCTGAGGTATCTGTTAATAGAATATGAAAGATAAGCAAAGCAAAGAATAACTTTAAAAATGTGAAATTATAATAAACATAATGTTGAACCCTGTGAAGGTTACAGGGATAAAATATATAGAATGCTTATGTGTAAGTATATATAAGACAAAGACAAAGACAAAGGCAAAAACAATTGTGAATAAACTATTTTCTCCTGACCTGGAGTACTGGACATGCTAAAGATGGAAATTTTACCTAAGAAAATATATAGAATTCATGTAATATTAAATTTATCATAAGGTAAATAATACATAATACTTTCTGGGGAAAAATATATATTTATATAGTGTACCTGTCAGTGCCAGAGTCTGTTAAATGACTTTAAGTCATCTTTTGTGATAACATTTTTCAAACTTTCAAGTACTCAGTTTAATCTATCTATATATATATATATATGCATAAGAAATCTATTAAATGTGTTTTTAATGAAGCTGCTAAAAGTTTCCTATGAGATTAGTAGTATGCAACAAAACATTAGCATTAAAAAAAGTCACTGGTTTTGGCATGTGGTATTTATTTTAATTCATTTCTAAACAACAATTTCAGTATGATTTCTTTAAGCCTAAAATAACTGAGAGAAGAATTTTTCTTTTTCAATTGGAATTTATAGGCCATACATTTGAGCACTTTCAGAGACTCAGGCTGTTCATCTCCATACCTACACTTAGGACTCAGCTGGTGGATAACAGGCACTTGATGGAATATTGTTGAGTGACTATGAGTTTCACCTTTTCAAGGCCACTGATATTTTATTTGTGACCTAATACATGATCAATTGTAAAAAATATGTTTTGTAACAAATATATAAGATGTTTGTAAGAAGTGTATTCTCTTTTTTGGCTATAAGATTTCATATGTAAGTATACTGAATTGAGCTTGTTAAAGAATTCTCATATCTTCATATAGAAAACTAAAAGTGGAAGACTTCTAGTAATGGTGGTGGTGTAATCAGAACACTGTCTCACAGATAACAGTGATGAAAACTAGATGGAAAGAATAACTATAGTGAGGTACAGGAAAGACACCAAAAGCAAGCAGAAATCCTAGGAGAGTTTACTTGGAATAGACCTAGGCAGGGGGTTGGGGGGGTGGATCTTTGAAGTAAGAAAGCCGAAGAAAGGATAAGACCCCACATCTAAGAATACACTGCCTGTATCCCTGCTGGCCAGTAAGCAAGCATGTGCAGTAGTCTGAGGAGCCGGCCAAAAAGCAGGCATAAATGTGAGAGCAGTCTATCCGTAAGAGGCAGACGAGCACTAAGGAAGAATAGTGAATCTGCTGCTCTTCTGACTGTGTGAATTTCCTAATTCACATGCAGCTCATGCAAAAGAAAGCTGAAGCTGTACTAGCTTGAGCTGTCAGAGAACACAGGCAGAATCAGCGTAGCAGCTGGGAAGTGAGGAGAAAATCTTGGAAGTAAGGAAACAGAAAAAGGATGGGCCCCAAATGCCAGCATAAACTGCAAAAGTACATAGCCTGGCCATGCAGCACAGTGAGATTCCAAGAGGCCAGGCTGGAAGAGAAGCAGCTGTAAGCTAAAAGAACTGGGCAAAGAACAGGGGATCTCCACCCAGATCCAGTGAGTACAGGCAAACCAGGCAACTACAGAGCAGAAAACCATCAACTCTCAGAAGAAACAACAGAACCCAGAGTTGCTGCAGCAGAATACATACAATGCACAATTTTTAAACAAAAATTAGTATCCAGAAACAACAAAAAAATGTTGAAGGAAAAAAAGACTACAGAAACTGACTTTAACAGGGTCTAGATGTTGGACTCTGCTAACAAAGACTTCAAGGCAGCTGTTAATATTAAAGTGTTAATAGGTTTAAAGAGTTAAAAGAAATATGCTTTTAATGAGTATTAATGAGTGAGAATCAAAAGAGAAGAATACAGAGAATCAAAACAGAAGAATGAAAATTATAAAATGAATTCTATGGAATTTCTAGAGCTGAAAAGTACAGTAACTAAAATGAAAAACTAGATTCACTCAACAGAAGACTGGAAAGGGTAAAAGTAAGAATCAGAGAACTTGAAGATAAATCAGCAGAAATCATCCAATTTAAAAAACAGAAAGAAAAAAGATAAAGGAAAAACAAACAGACCATCAAATACCTGACATAATTTTCATATGGAGATTTTGTGCTTAGGAAGAGTAGAAAAGAGAAAAAGAAAAAAATAATTGAAGAAATAATGGCTGAAAATCTCACAAATTTAGTGAATTTAGCAAGGTAGGGACAAGATTAATTAACAAAAAAAATCAAATCTATTTCTATATTGAATCAACAAACAACTGGAAATCAAATTTAATAAAATATTTTCATGTAATATTAGGAAAAACATAACACTAAGAATTAACTGAACAAAAGATATATAAAACCTGCACAATAAAAACTACAAATATCACCGAGAGAAATTAAAGAAGACCTAAATAACGGAGAGATATTTTGTTCATATTCTGTTCATTTACGTTCATCGTGGATTGGAAAACAATTTGGTTAAGATGTCTATTCTCCCAAAATTAATCTGTAAATTCAATGTAATCCCAGTGAAAATCCAATTAGGATTTGTGGAGAAACTGATGAGCCAATTTTAAAATTTTGTGACAATTGAAAGGGCAAAGCAATTTAAAATATAAATTTGGACATCTTATGGTACTTGATTTCCAAACTTAATTCTAGAGTAACCAAGAGTTTAACATTGGCATAAGGATAAACATGTAGATCAATGGTGCAGAATAAACGGTCCAGACACAGGCCCACATTTATAGGGTGAATTGATTTTTGACCAAAAAAGTCAAGATAATTCAATAGAGAAATGACAAGCTTTTCAAAAAATGGTGCTGGAAAACTGGGTATCAACATTGGCAAAAAAGCGAACATCAACCCTTACCCCTCCACACACAGACAGTATGGGGCACAGACAATAAATCTGAGAGCCAAAATTATAAAACTTCTGGAAACAACACAAGAGAAACTTTTGTGACATTGGATTAGGCAAATATTTCATAGGACACAAAAAGTTTTTCTCCAAAAGAGAAAAACTGATTAAGTGAACTTTATCCAAATTAAAAGCTTCTGTTCTTTGAAAGGCACCGTTTTAAGACATGAAAAGGCAAGGCACAGACCGCAGGGAGCTGCTCACCATGTATACAGACATGTATACATGTCAGACAGGGCAGTCGTGCGGACTCTTGGACTCACTAACAACAATCACAAAGCTCAACAGAAGCGAGCCAGGGTCTGAGCAGGCCCTCCACAAAATCAGCCGTGCAAATGGCTGCACACCGCATGAAAAGGCGCTCCCACCGGCAGGCATGGAAACGCTAATGGAAGTCCACCAGACCTTCTAGAATTTCTAAAATTAAGCATTGTCAGAACCAAGTGTTGGCAATGATGAGGAGTGACTGTGTAGTATTTCACAAGGGCTGTTTTGAGCCAGATTTGATGTCATGGCTGAAAACCCTCATTTCCCCTCTGCAGGCAGTTTGCTGGTCCCCCTATCACCCTACTTTCCCAATGGGGCTCCAACACTGCTGGGTTGTGATACACATGTACCCAACCACCAGAGGCCCCAGAACAGCCAACACCCAGCAATGGCCCCTTCTTCCTGGCAATTACTCAACGTGCCGAAGCTCCAGGAATCCCAGCAAGCTCCAGGAGCCTCACTCCACCCCACCTGCCTCCAGGAGGTGCGTCCTGTGGTTCCAGCTTGCTGTCCCTGGACACAGCCCACCATGTGGCCCCAAGGGGCGACCCTTGCTGCAAGTGACAAAGAGTTCTGCCTTTCCGGGGCCTCTGTGTTATCCTACCATCCAAAGAACCTTATAATCGTGGCTAATATCATATAATTACAAAACAAGCTGGAACACTCATGTACCATGAGAGGAATGCTCAAAAAACAGCCACTTTGCAAAACTGTTTGATGGTTTCTTACAAAGTAAAACACACCCACTCACTCCCAGTAGTCTCATTCCTAGGCATCTACCCAAAATAAATAAAAACATATTTCTACACAAAGGTTTATCTATGAATGCTCACAGCAGCATTATTTATACTAGTCAGGAACTGAAAACAATTCAAATGTGCATCAGGAGTAAATGAAGAAAGTGTGGTCTATCCATACAAGGGAACGCTGCTCAACTGTAAAATGGAAGTGACATGCACACAACAGGGGCGAATCCCCACATGCCACTAAGTGAAAGGAGCCAGACACAAAGACTCACACTCTATGACTCCATTCCTACGGAATTCTGTAAAACGCAGGTCAGAAGAACTACAGGGAGAGCAGAGGACCAGCAGTTGCTAGGGCAAGGGGTAGGGGTGAGAACTGAACTGAGAGTTAAGAGACGGGCTTTTTATTCTATGTGAGGGATCCTCACCGCATATGAATTAAGAAGAAACTAAAACACTGTACAACTTATATACGATATCGTATAATTGTTAATTATTTCAACAATGGCAGATTTCTAAAACTTCGAAAGCTGGGGTTTTTTCTATTTGTTGAATACTTTAATTAAAGATTTCCAATTGATTTTGAAAGAAACATGCAGCCAAAATATAAAGAATTCATTTATATATAAAAAAACTAAGCATTTAGGCTGACTTCAAAGCAATGCTTCTAAGGTTCAACCATTTCTAAAGAAAATCCAACTGAAAGAAGGCACAACTGCAAGGTGGAGAATTTTTTTTTCATAAAAAGATAGGTTTATGAGAGTATTTAAAATTTTTGACAGTTATACTTTGTATATTTATTCCTGGAATATTACAGCTTGTTTGAATATAATTATGAATAATATGTACAACACAATCAATTCAAGTGCATTTCTATTCTATTGGTTTCTTAAGTTAGTGAGATTATGGTTATGGTTTTTATGATGGCACTGCTCTTGAAAAGAATTATTCACATTATCTGTCAAAAAATAATTTTACTTCCAATGCTGAACGTTTAAAATGAATTTAAAACATAATTAGCAATAGCCTTAGATAGTCTTAACTTAGATGGAATTAACTTTATAAAGCTTTGTTTTGATTCCAAGAATAGAATTATAAAAAAATACTTTGTTTTTAAAAACTACTGAATTGATTTTCTACTTGAAGTATATATGATTGATACAAAACTGACATTAATTAATGTTTACTTTTTTCTTTTACTAGTAGAGTCAATATATTAATAGCAGTTGTTTTACTTTTCATATCAAAAAAACTTGCAGTTGATAATAAATGACATTATTCTAGACTAAGAGTCGTCCGCTCTCAGTGAGAATTCATTGCTCAGAGAGTGATAAGTAATGTGCCTCCTACTGCCATATGTGTTAAATCATTGCTTTTAGATAGTCTTAAAATAAGCACTAAATTTTTCACTAAAAAATTTATGTCTTCCAGTTTGTTTGTATCTGGTCAGTTCACTACAGTCCCCAACAATGACTGGACAAAGTGTGCAAATTAGACATTCATCAGCAGTAGCCATGCAAAAGCAAAAATCAATACTAAAAGTTGGCTAAATGTTCACCCTCCCTCCCTTCCTCATTGCTAACGAATGGATTAGTTGCAAAATGCAAAAAGCTTTATGAAACAAATTAGGTATGACTTTTGTTGTGATAAAATTGCCTAACACGAAAAACCTGCCCTTATTCCAGAATCCTCGTGTGGGAGGGCTGGGCAACTCAGCTGCAGGCTGGGGGCAGGTCTGAGCTCAGGCTGAAGGACAGCTCACCCCTGACCACACTCATCCTGCACAGAACTCCTGTCCTGCAGCCTTCCTAAGCCTGTGATTGTGTGTGCACTGTTGAGGTATGACTGTCAATTTTCATCTTTTTGGTAAGTTTCCAGGGCAAATTTTTGCCAGTTTAATCAGGGATTGCAAAGGCACTGCAAGGTTAAAAGATGGGGAAGTGTCAATATAGGGTAGGTAACCTAACCCTCAGTGTTCTTGGTATGTGCAACAACCATATTTACATTTCTTTAGACAATGAAACAGAAATCTAATTCGTATCGGTTTGATTAGAATATTACTAATGAAACATTTCAGAAGTACATAGTTCAAAGACTCACAGCAACTGAACTTCACTCTAATCATTTTTAAAAATAAATTTACATTGTCTACAAAGTTCCTCCAAAGTTAGAATAGAATAGACAGAAATGAATTTCTTTGAAACAAATATCCATTATTCTCCCTCTGCTTACACAATCTTAATGAATGAGCCCTTCCTTCAGGCTTTCATTACTCATGGGAGCCAGAGGAAAGGCTTAGCATCTTCATTATTCTGATGCTGCATCTTAGATAATGACATCAAGCCGCCACAGAGATCATCGTTCATGGAGCCTGCGGTGTGGAGCAGTTGCATGTGACACGTTCCTGGCACTCCGGAGGGGCTCAGAGATCCAGAGAGGCTGTGGGGTAGCGTGTTCCCTGGGTGTTAATAAGAGGTGAAAACCATTATCATTTCCTTCAAGGGTTTCAGGGAGATTGGTAGGGCCAGTGTCTCTCAAAGTAACAACTGGAGCTTGGTCTTTCTAATCTCACTTTATTTAGAAGGGGCTAGAACTTTGGAAATACATTGTGGGAGACCGCAATATCCCTCCCCAAAATATGAAGGATGGTTGAGCTGAAGACAATCAAGAAGAAGCAGATGCAGGAAAGCTTGCTGCACTCCCTCTATTTACCTAAAAGCAGGACACAGAGCCACAAAAACAGAAGACATCCAGCCTGGCCCCTTCTGCTGGGGAGAACAAAAGTGACCCACGGACGCCAGCTTTAGACCCTTGCAGGCCTGAAGATGGTACTGGAGGGATCTACGTGAACAGGCTTTGCCAACCAGCCTTTACCTGCCAGGCACTCGCCTCCCCCCACGTTGCTGCCCTTAGAGACTCGAAGACCATTTCCTTTGTCTTGTCACATCTCTAAAATTTTACTGTTCTTTGTTGAGGATGCTGTATCAGCTGAAGTTCAAAGCCACCTCTCCCGGAACTGCTCGTTCTCTGGGTGTCTTTCCTGTACGTGTGAAATACACATGCTAATGACCTTGTTTCACTCTTGTTAATCTGCCTTTTGTAACAGGTTCCCGTCTCCACTATGAACCTGTGGGGGATTTACTTTCCCCCAAAGGTAAAGGAACACAGCACGGCCTTCTACACTGTAGCCACACAGCGCGGCCCATGTGTCTGGGCTCCAGGTCCTTCACAGTTCAGTGGATGCGGCTGTGGAGAACGGTTTGTGCTTTTGGACGCGTGACATTTTTCATAAACATTAATCACATTTACTTCATGTGCTAAGGTCTCTGCCCTCCTTTAAACAGCATTTAATTTCAAAGGCAAGGTCGCCCACATTCTCCCGGCTTCACCTACCCCATGTGACAGATGGGGGGCGCCATGGAGGCAGCGGGGCAGCCAGATCCTGCACGTCTGCCGCAGGCTCTGCGCTCTCCTTGGGGTCTCTCTTGGGTCTTCAACGACCAAAGGACAAATGTTTTAAGTGTTTATCTTGTTAATTTATCAGATGACTTACTGACATAACTAAGATGGGGAAAAACAAGAAAACTCATAAATTAACCGGAGAAAAGAAAACTGTTTTCTGTGCACCCAAAATGGATCACTGAGTAATGATGTCTGAGGCATTTATGCATCAGTGTGAAAGAATAATAGATTTTTATCGTTGAAGGGCTCTTCAAATCATCTGGCCCAATTTGGGAAGTAGTTATCTCTGAATTTGGCTCCCGATCCTCTGACTACCTCAGAGGAGTAATTCTAATGATTAGAAAATTCTTCCTTGCATTGCATCCCAACCTGCCTGCTTTCAGTCTCCACTCATCGTTAGCCTTTTCCTCCCGAGGTCCCCTGTGCAGACACACTCAGCATCTGGTAGCTCTCCTTGGGGTGAAGTCTAGTGTATACCTTTGCACCCAGCTCAGTCTGCTCCTGAGGTGACAAAATAGTTGTTCAAACAGCTGCTACTGAATCAAGTTAGAGCACGTGCTGAAATACACTCTTTCCAGAGGCATATAATTTTTATTATCTGAAAAATTTCAGCATCCCTAATTAAAGAATTGGCAATGTTTTCCCCCCATATGATAATGCTTTACTCAATGATAGCTGATGTGCTTTCAAAAGACACTCAGTGAATGTGTGATTAAAGATAAATCCAGTTCATAGCTGTCAGGATTGGCAAATTGTAACCGCTCTTAAGTAAAGGCATTTGTTTTAGAAAAGATGAGACGCAATTTTCAGAATTGGAGGTTTATGGATACCTCCTGGGGTAATGGACTCTTTTATACCTTAAGTTTATCTTCCTGAAAAACAAATAAAAGGTTTGGGTTTTGCTGTTAGTGTAAGAGCAGAATGCATCTTCTGATCAACAAAGAGGGTATTTTACATTCCCTGGAAGCACCTGCTGAAAATTCTTGCTAAGAATATTCATTGGCTCATTCTCCTGGGGACGGAGACAGATTGGGCAAGTCGTCCACGGGGTTATTTGTCTTCCCACTGTCTACCACTGACAGATCGTTTCTACCAGAATGTGTTCCATGTAAGTGTTTTGGATGCAATTCAAGTTACCTCTGGTAATGGCGCCATTGATCATGCTGTGGATGTGGTGGAGAGATCGGCCTTATGATGAAGAGCTTCATTGTATATTGTGACAATTGATTTCCTTTTTGCTGAAGACACAGGCTGGAGGTATTTTAGACCACTGTATTAATGACCAAGTGGCTTTTAACAGATGAATAATGGCAAAGGAGTATGAATGGATAAGCTCGAGGACAGAGGGGCTCTGCCTGTGAAATACAGCCGGGAACTTAGTCTCTTCTGCAGCCTCGGTCTGCCTGCTGAGGCTGAGCGAGCTGCCCGTGTTCACGGAACAAATTTTCAGGGTTGACTGAAGGAAAATTTGGCAATGGATATTACTTTTAAGAAGCCCAACTCAAGGGGAGTGCGAGGGCCCAGCGGCAGGCAGACAGCAGTCTGGAGTCTCCATACTCCACAGTAGGCACTTGATTTATTTAATCTCCATTATCGACCTGAAAGGGATGTACAGAAGATTATCCTGATTTTGTAGGTGAAGAAACTGCAAAGGATAAACAAATTAGACAAGGTGGCAGGGATATAGATGGGACACATCTGTCTAGCTCCAAAGCCAGGACTTCAAGGAATTTGGTCTAACTTGACAGCTCAGAATGTTGAACAAAGAGTGTCCACCAGTTTTGTCTCCCCACTGTGCCTAGGAACTGCTCTTCCTCCTGATCTTCCTGCCTCAGGCACCAACCCATCGTCTCTGCCATTGCCCAGGTCATAAACAGAGCCCCATTCTTAAACTCTTAATGTCCCCACCTTGGACAGTCAGCCACTAAGTCCAGTTGGCTCGACCTCTGATGTATCTCCTTAATGTACCCTTCTCCCCATGGCCACCATCCATGTCCAAGTTCAGGCCACTGTTGTCCTTCTCTGGATTACTGCAATGGCTCTTTCCAGAAACCCACAACCAGAAAGACTTTCAGGAGTTCAAATAGAATTGTACCATTTCCAACCTCAAATATCTTTGGCTTTTCATTGCCTCAGAAATAGCTAACTTCCCTAGCAAGGTGTCAGGGTCCTTCATAGGCTAGTCTGTGCCCACCTCACACCCCTCCACCTTACGGGACTATTTCAGCTCACAGCCCCTGGCTCATGCTCTGCCCCAACTGGCACCCGCCTCTTCTTCTCCCCGACCACGGGCCCCACCGGCGTGCCCCTTGCTTGGCGCAGCGTTCTTCTCACACTCAGTGAAAATCACCTATTTCCTTCTCATAATTTATGCCCCTGGAGGTCTCCCTATAACTCCTACTAGCCATTTCATCTCCTGTGGCACACAGCACAGGACCAGTCAGTATCTGCTAAATAAATTAATGAAGGCCTTCGAAATCCATCATGGTATTTAATTGTCACAAAACATCTATCCATGTAGCCATGTTTCATGTCTCCTTTTATAGGTGGAGAAAGGATACAGAGACATCAGGTTGTTAGAGCAAAGTCCTACTCTGAAGCCCTCTGTTGTATTACAGTGTAGCCCAATAATTGGTTTCCATGTCACTGGCCTTCAGTCATGAAGAACCATTTAAATTATGTTCAAAGTTATTTTGTTAAGTAGAGAAGTATTACACACATAGCAAAAAAATGCCATCCAAAATATTTTAAAGTTTAGGTGCTTAATTTTGAAATAATTAGGCACCATTTTCTGTAAGCTACATTAATAAAATCTTAGTAAGGTTATAATAAAATCAGAGACTTTATAAATTTGTATAACCTTTTGTAAAACAATATGGTAATACGTATCAGACTCATAATGATGTTCCAAGCCTTCAACCTAGTAATTTCACTCCTGGGAATTTATCCTTATGAAATAATTCAAAAACAAATAAAGGCCATATACATGGTGACTGCAGTATTACTCACTCTTTTTCTCTAATCTCCCTTACTACTTTTATCATAATTCAAGCAAAAAAGCAAATACAAGTTATTTACAAGACTACCTCCCCTAGACTGTGAGCTCATTAAGGGCACCATAACTTGATTCATCTCTGCACTTGCAGTGAAATAAGCAATTAGTGCCTCAATGTTTTGTAAAAGTATCATACATGTACATATATACATATATATACATGCATGTGCACATAAACACACACTCTTCACCAACACACACATACACACATTCTCCAGCAATCTGAAAAGGTAACCAAATGTTCAGCAAAACATGCTGTCTCCACAATTCCTACCCTCAGAATACAATGTGATTAAGACTATAGGTTCTGAGAACAGCAAGCAGTGGAATAAAATTGCTTCAAAGAGCATTACAGAAAGGCAAAGATGTGGATGGGACTGCAAGGCTGGTCCTCAGGGAGTTCAAAGGGCACAGTGTCAATACCACCAAGCCTAGTGGACACCAGGCTTTGATCAGAGTCCCCAGCTTTGTCTGAAATTCATAGCCAAAGGCAGTCTGTCTTGGGGAAACACACAAATAAAACAACCACCATATACCTTCTGACTACAAGTTTAGAAGTGCACTTAACTCTGAAAAGTACTTTATCCTAACAAACTGGCAACAACATTTTGGGACAGTTTGCCTCTAGCTTGACTTCTTTATCTTAAAAGTAAGATTCTGCCCCAATGCTTGCAACAAAAGGGTCACTTTAAGCTGTTCTCAAATTTGTAAAGAAGAGCTGCTAATTTAAACATCTCAGAAGAAGACAGAAACAAATTAAATTCCTGAATTTAAGAGATCCAAGTCTACCCATTCCTTCTTTTTGTCAATTTTTCAGCAATTAGATCTGAGAGCTACCTGAGCTCTCTTCCGAAGATACTGAGCAGCGAAGCCTGGAACAGGCGACAGCAAACCCAGAATTAACATTAGTTAAGGAAGTGATGAGGAACAGTGTAAAAATACATATTGCAGATGCTGGGACATTAAAGTGTTTCTCTAAGTAAGTATAAATAACTGATACCCACCAGGCGTTACAAGGATTAATGAGATGTCATCTGAATCATTATTCCCACAAAATCAAAAAGCAAGAAGACACATGTAGAAGAAATACGTTAACACTTTGGAGTAGAGTTGCTGGCTTTTGTTGGGGAACACCGACAGAAAAAATTGAATAAAGCTTTTATTTTTATTTATTTATTTTTTTATTTCAGCATATTATGGGGGTACAAATGTTAAGATTATGCATATTGCTCTTGCCCCCCTCCCCACTGGAGTCAGAGCTTCAAGCGTGACCATCCCCCAAATGTTGCACATCTCACTCATTGTGTTTGTATATACCGATCCCCTCCTTCCTCTCCCACCTGCCCCACACCCTATAAATGTTACTCCTATATGTCTACTTAGGTGTTGATCCATTAATACGAATTTGCTGGTGAGTACATGTGATGCTTGTTTTTCCATTCTTGAGATACTTCACTTAGTAGAATGGGTTCCACCTCTATCTAGGAAAATACAAGAGGTGCTATATCACCATTGTTTCTTATAGCTGAGTAGTACTCCATGGTATACATATACCACATTTTATTAATCCACTCATGTATTGATGGGCACTTGGGTTGTTTCTACATCTTTGTAATTGTGAATTACAAAGAATTGGATTTTGTCATATACCTTCTCTGCATTTATTGAGATCATGTGTGGTTTTGTTATTCTTTATCTTATTAATATGGTATATCACACTAACTGAATTTTTCAGTTACTAAACCAATCTTGCATTCCTGGAATAAAGCCCACTTGGTTTCAGTGTATAATCCTTTTTTTCGCTGTGATTGAGATTGCTAATATTAACTCCTTTAGTTAAGGAGTTTTTCCATCTATGTTAATGAAGGAAACTGGTCAGTAGTTGTGTTTTTTTAATATGATGCCCTTGTCTAGCTTTAGTGTCAGGGTCAAAATAAATTCAGAGGCTAAATTGGCAAGTGTTCCCTTTACCTCTGTGTTCTGAATGAGTGTGCAAATTGATACTATTTATTCTCTAAGGGTTTGACAGAATTCACCAGTACAGGCATGTAGGCTTGGGCTTTTATTTGTGGAAAGCTTTTGATCATTAATTTGAATTTCTATTTGTTTTAGGGCACTTTAGAAATGAACTGAGTCAGTTTTGGTAATTTTTATTGTACTAGAAATTTGTCCCTTTTTTCCAACACTTGTAATTTGTTGGCATAAAGTTGTTCTTGATATTGCCTTATAATTGTTTTCATTTTTGTAGGACCAATAAGGATGCTTCCTCTTTCATTCCTGACTTGTGTCTTCTCTGAAATTTTCTTGGTCAATTTAGTGAAAGTTTTGTTAATTACATTGATACCTTCAAAGGACCAATTTTCAAAGAACTAATAACTTGGTTTTACTGAAATTTTCCTAAACTTGTCTTTTTCTATTTAATTGACTTCTGTTTTCATTTTTATTATATTCCTTCTTCTACATGCTTTTGGTATAATTTGCTGTTCTTCTACTTGTTCTTTAAGGTGGAAGTGACATTACTGATTAGAGAGTTTGCTTTTTCCTAAAATAGGTGTTTAAAGCTATAAGCATCCTTCAAAGCACTGCTTCAGCATCATCCTATAAATTACAATATGTTCTGTTTTCATTTTTTGTTCAAAATATTTTCATTTCATTTGAAAATATTTTCTAAAATCTCTGTGATTTCTTGATTGACCCATGGGTTAGTCAAAATGTGCTCTTTAATTTCCAAATATTTTCATATTTTCCAGATTTTCTTCTGTTGTTGATTTTAATTAGTTTTGTTGAATTGTGTTCAAAGAACACACTTTGTTGATTAAGTCCTTTCAACGTACTGAGACTTGTTTTATACATTAGCATATATTCTACCCTAGAGAATGCTTACCTGCAGTTAGCAAAAGTAGTAAGTATATTCTATATGCATATCAATTAGGTTGAGCTGACAATGTCACCCAAGTGTTCTACATCCTAGCTAATTTTCTGTCTAGATTTTCTATGAATTATCAAGTGGTTTATTGAGATTTCTATATACTATAGAACTATAATTATTTAAGTTTTTATTTCTCCTTTAATTTCTATCAGTTTTTACTTAATGTATTTTTGGGCTCTGTGGTTAAGTATGTCTACACTTTTTATTTGCTTTCTATCAGTTTCCTGGTTTTTGTTCCTGTTTCTCCTTGACTGCCTTTTAAAATGTAAATACAGTCAAGCATCACTTAACAATGGAGATATACTCTGAGAAATGCATTGTTAGGTTTCCTCATCATGCTAACATCACAGAGTACACTTCCACAAACCTAGATAGCATAACCTACTACCCACCTAGCCTATGTGGTGTAGCCTATTGCTCCTGGGGTCCAAATCTGCACAGCACGTTACTGTACTGCATACTGTAGGCAATCCTAACACGTGATAAGTACTTGTGTCTCTAAACATAGAAAAGGTACAGTAAAAATGTGTCACTGTGATCTTATGGGACCACTATTGTGCATGTTGTCCACTGTTGACCAAAATGTCATTATGAGGCACATGACTGTATATCCT